CAGTCAAATTGACAAAGGACTAAATTGGGTAAAAATTGTATAGTTGAGGACTTAATTGGGTAAGAATGATAGTCGAGGACCAAATTGGTAATTACGACATAGTCGAGGACTATTTTGGGTATTAACTCTATACAAAATGATTTGCACTAAAAACATGGACATATATTAGCGATATAACTTTGATTGAGACCTGTTATGTTTTTAGATAACACTAGTGACTAAAAATGCAGCATTATACAACAATAGAGACTAAAAATATGACATTATAAATAATTAAATGACTAAATTTATTTAAATTAATTTAAAAAATTAAAATTTTAAAAGTAAAATAATTCATGGATTAAAAATGTTATTTTACTTGTAAAAAAAAAATTAAAGACAAAAATAAACAAGTCAAAAATAAAAATTGCGGGTCAAGCAGCAGCAATCCCCAAATGGCCAAATGTTTGACTACACTACAAACCTCCTCTAAATCCTCCTTAATATGCAAACTGTGGTCAAACATATGTCATATGATGTCTTAATATATTAATCAAAACTAATTACTCCAATAATTTATCCAAATATTTAATCCAGACAAACAAAAACACATGAAATTCTCACTGTCACTCTGCCTTCTCCCTGCAAATCTGGGAAAAAAAAAAGTTTCCTTAACACAACCAAGAATGTTTCGCTTGTAGTTTATGATTAAAGGGCACTATAGGTATTTTACCTTCCGTCAGTTTCTCTTTCTCTTTAGCTGCCTGCAGACTTTTCCAAAACCCATTTCACACGGGGTTGGACATGAAGAAAGAGAAGTTTGTGAGGTATGTTGATGTCTTGTAATGGACTTGTTATTGATTTTTGTTGTTAGTAGTGTTCTCTTTTTGATTGCTATGTAATGGAAAAAGAAATTGGAAGTGGAGGGGAGAAAAGAAAGGAACTTGGAAACTTGAAAGATCGATTCTTGGTTTTGTTGAGCTTAAAGAGGAGAAACTTTTAGGCTTGGAAGTAACCCCCAAAAAAAATCAGAATTTTATGTACCCATTACTTGGTTTTCAATGTTTTTCTTTTTGATTGGTTGCTTTGGAGCTGAAGATTTCTAGTGCTCCGTAGAAAGGATTGATACAGCAAAGTGACGTTCTAATATCAAAATTAGATTTCTAGCCCTTTTTTTGTTGGAAATTTTAATTCCATTTATACCCTGTTATGCTGCAATTAAGCTAAGGCTTTTACTAATTTTAGGCTCATTTTTTGGTAACTTAAATGTTTAGGTTCTACTCCAACGGAAAACAGCAAAAACCCATTTTATGGGGAGGAGAAGCTGAATCTTCAAGTTTAGAGAAATCATCTTCTGAGTATAGGTTTTCATCATCCTGGTTGAACCCCGGCAGAAAACATAAAATCACAGAAACCCTTAAGTTTGGGAGGCCTAAGGTGTACCCTGAGAACCATGAGCCATGGAGAAAGCGGATTCTTGATCCGGGTAGTGACATTGTGCTGAAGTGGAATTGGGTTTTCATTATATCTTGCTTGTTGGCATTGTTTGTCGACCCATTGTATTTTTTTATGCCTATTATTGGAGGAACTAAGGATCTAAGTTGTGTGAGGACTGACTTGAATTTGCGAATTGTGGTCACAATTTTCCGCACTATTGCTGATTTTTTCTATCTGTTGCACGTGATCATTAAGTTTAGAACTGCTTATGTTGCCCCCAATACTCGGGTATTTGGTAGAGGTGAGCTTGTCATGGATCCTAAGGAGATTGCTCGGAGATATCTAAGATCTGATTTCTTCATTGATCTGATCGCAACCTTACCTCTCCCACAGGTAACCTGCTTTTGTCTTGAAAGAACTACTGCACTCACTGCAGGCCATAACTATACTATTATCGCATGCTTTCATGTCTTATGCCATATTTATGTTTGCATATTCTTCTGTTTTTTGTACTTGCGCTTTGAGCTTCTTGTTCAGATCATTACTAATTATTGGTACTCCTCACAGATTGTCATCTGGTTCATTATACCAGCAACAAGAAGTCAACATGCATACCATAATAATAATGCCCTCGCACTGATTGTCCTGATTCAGTATATTCCCAGGTTATATCTTATTTTCCCACTAAGTTCGCAGATCATTAAAGCAACTGGAGTTGTCACAAAAACTGCTTGGGCAGGGGCTGCATATAATCTACTTCTCTATATGTTGGCTAGCCATGTATGTAACTCTAGCAATGTCCTCTTTTTTCAAATTTTTTATATTCGAAACAATATTATAGTTATCGTATCTTACAGTTTCCTCCCGTTATTCTTTTCCATATGACAGTAAGATTTGTATCTTCAGGTCTTTGGGGCAGCATGGTATTTGTTGTCAGTTGATCGATACACATCTTGCTGGAAATCAATTTGCAGAGATGAAAAGAATTCCACGAACTGTGTATCTCGGTACTTGGATTGTGATACTTTTGAACTTGATGCTCGCAAGACCTGGGCTAACATTACTAGTGTGTTCAAAAATTGTGATCCCGATGGAGATAGCACTACTTTCAAATATGGCATATTTGAAAATGCTGTTACAAAAGATGTTGTCTCCTCAAGTTTTCTTGAGAAATACTTCTATTGCTTGTGGTGGGGATTACAGAACCTGAGGTATTTCTCATTTGCACATACAATGATAATACCAATTGTGCTTCTACTAAGTTACAGTGGTAGTATAGTCTGTCTAAGTAATAAGTATGCTTTAGTTATTCAATAAAAGGGGTTTCAGAAGTTTGTTGAAGTACCCTTAATTTACAGTGAGGGGAAACTTAACTTTAGAGTGCCTTAATTAACATTAGACAATACTCCGTATAATTCAATTTAAACAGTATTTATGTGATTTCGTCCAGTCACTTTTATATATAGCAAACATGTTATTGTTATCTTGACCTTCTAAATGATATTCTATATGATTTTTTTTTTTCTTTTAAAACAAAATTCTAATGGCATAAGTTCAAAATACTTAAGATTTCACATTCATTGTATGCCATGAGCTGGTCCTTGCTTTTGCTCGTGTCAAATTATGTGGATGTGCTGATATCAAAGCTAACTATTAGCTTAAAACAGAAAATATGAGTTCTGGTTATTTAAAAGTTATGCTTTAGTGTGCCATAGGTCTCTTATATTGTGAGATTTGCATTTGGTTGCTGATTATCTAATCATCATTTTGGTCAAATGAGTAAAGTTGGAATTTTTGTGAAGGGCATTGCAATTGTTGTCTACTAGGAGATATGTTAAATGTCTTCTTGAACCATTTGTTTACTGGCTGTTTAGATGAAAGGAGTTTATGGATTTTCACAAGCCTCTCTTGTTTCAGTTCTTATGGGCAGAATTTGTCAACAACCACATTTATCGGAGAGACATCTTTTGCCATAGTTATTGCAATTTTTGGCCTCGTTTTATTTGCACATCTTATTGGTAATATGCAGGTAAATGTTTCTGTTATCCTTTTTTAACTTCCACAACTATGTTCTTTCTAGTTATGATCTATTGAAGGAATTTGCCTTGATTTTTTTGGGTGGGTACATAGACATACCTGCAATCTATGACAGTGAGGCTCGAGGAATGGAGACTTAAGCGAAGAGACACTGAAGAGTGGATGCAACATCGACAACTCCCAGAAGACTTGAGAAGGCGTGTTCGACGTTTTGTTCAATGTAAATGGGTTGCAACTCGGGGAGTAGATGAAGAAGCAATTTTGCATGGCCTACCTGCTGATCTTCGTCGTGACATTCAACGACATCTATGCCTGGACCTTGTTCGACGTGTATGAGTTTCACTTAAAAAAAGCTTAACATTACAGGAATTGAACTGATCTCCCGTTTCTGATGTGCTAATGTCATTTCTTTTTCTTGTCCAAAATACAATTTCCATCCAGGTACCATTTTTCTCTCAGATGGATGATCAGTTACTCGATGCTATATGTGAACGTATAGTCTCGTGCTTGAGCACAGAGGGTACTTACATTGTTCGGGAGGGTGATCCTGTCACGGAGATGCTATTCATCATTAGAGGGAGGCTCGAGAGTTCTACGACAAATGGAGGGCGGACCGGTTTCTTCAATTCCATTATGTTGAGACCTGGAGATTTTTGCGGGGAGGAGCTCCTTGCTTGGGCTTTGCACCCAAAATCTACTGTCAACTTGCCTTCCTCAACCAGGACAGTGAGAGCACTGGTTGAAGTGGAAGCCTTTGCATTGAGAGCTGAAGATCTCAAGTTCGTTGCTAACCAGTTTAGGCGACTCCACAGCAAGAAGCTGCAGCATACATTCCGGTTCTACTCTCACCATTGGAGAACATGGGCAGCGTGCTTCATACAGGCCGCTTGGCGACGACACAAGCGAAGAATGATGGCAAAAGATCTTGCTAGGATGGAATCCTTTGCTTTAAATGAAAGAACGGAAGAGAGTGAGCGAGGAGGCGAGGAACAGGAGGAGGAGGATACTAGTACTTCTCCCACCTCAAACCAGTCCCTGACAAAGTTAAATCTCGGTGTCACGATATTGGCTTCAAGATTTGCTGCAAACACTAGGAGAGGAGCTCAGAAGATCAAAGATGTCGGTTTGCCTAAACTACAAAAACCCGAAGAGCCTGACTTTTCAGCAGAGGCGGATGACGACTAGCAACTGTTGGTTTCAGTAGCAAAGGCTAACTTTTTATGTGATGCATTCTGGTAATATGAATGATAATTTCATAGTTTTGAGCAAACATGTATCAACAAGAAGTTGTGTAAATGAGAAACAAGAAAGTGGGGGAATGGAGATTTTTCTGCAAACTGAAACACCATGATGATGATGATAATTCCTTCTATAATGTTAATGTTGAAGAGACGACACCTGTATCCTGTAACAGCTCTGTTAAATTATCTACAAAGTATTCAACAAAGTTGTTGAGAGCATGTAAGTTATGGGACTTGGATATTCTCACTTTCTTTGATGAAAGACTGAACTGTTCTTTGTTCTTGATATTAATATGTACTCACTCATGTACAAATCTAATATAAATGATAATAAAACCTAAACCAAGAAACAGTTTGAGTTTGAGTTAAATACACAAATCCAGATGAACTCAAACTGGATTGCCCACCGAAGAAGTCGTCTTTAATCAAATCAAATGCAGTTTTTTACTGCATTCGGACTTTAAACTGAAGTGGTTAGGATCTACTATGGTACATACTTGTCAATGTCATAAAATTCAATGTTCTTGTACTTCTGGGATATAATCTCTGCCTGAACTTTGCGTGCTGTGTCCGTGGCACAGCCAACAAGAATGAGAACTGATGTGCCCGCAAATCCTCGAAAAGCAGTCAGGTGTGTTGCTTGTTCAATCACAGCAGGACCAGCAGCAAGAACAGCCAAAAATACAGAACCGAGAACTGATATCCGGCTAAGAACCTATAGTAGTAATTCCAGTGTGAAAGCATCCGTTAACATGCCAAACATAATAGAATCAGAATTAGGCCTAGTTCATAACATAATTGTAGTTATTAGATATAAAACATTTAATGCACAATTCTTTATTTTTTTAGCATATATACATGAAATAGAAGAAATGAAGTACAATATTGCTAAAACAATTCAAAGAAAGAGAAGGAAGTTACCATTTTGATGAATGCAGCTGTACTCTTTCCTGGTCGGACAAGTGGAATTGAAGCACCTTGTCGCTTCAACTGTTCACTCATGTCGTCAGGGTCCAGTTGCAGGAATGTGTAATAGTAATTAAAGAAGGCAATCAATAGTACATTTGTTGGGAGATAGAAAGAACCTAAGAAAGCATACTTGGTTAGTTATAGACTTCCAAGGATTTAAGCATGCATTTTATCGACATTGTCACAGAACTGCAAGAACTAATTTCAATTCTGCCAGAAACGCAGTGACACTCAGTCATTATACTCACCGCCAGGGTTTAAGGCAACTGCCACATTTCTTAGCACCCCAACGCCAGTGAATCGTGCCAGAGTGCCAGGAATAGCCAATGATGATGTAGAGAAGATAATTGGCATAACTCCTGAACTATTTACCTGCTCAACAATAACACCTAACACAATCAATTTTCTGTTAAGTCAAGTCTAACCCTAGAATTTTATATAAAATTATAATAGGATCATCAACAAAAATGATACCTAGCTAGTTCCTAAAGAGCACGACACACACTGGCTAACAAGGAGAAATGTTATAATCGTAAAGGTACCAATTACTATTACATGATTAAAGATGGATGGATCATTGTGACTTCATATTAGAAGCATGGTATAAGAAGAAGTCATACTAACTTTAAAGGGTAAGTAAGCAGATTTTTGAAGGCCTCCAGTCTTGCTAGTATATCTTGAGGCATAGTTAAGTGGAATTTTCCTCTCTGCTTCCTGTAACACTTGATAGCATTAGTGTGTTGCTCTCTATGTATTCAAATTCAAAATACTACTGTATAAAAAAGAATATAACACTTACCTGTACGTAAACTATGCTAAGGACTAAAAGGGCGAAGGAAACAATGATGCCAACGAGCCCAACATAGTTTCCATCTTGATATGCCTGTGCAACTGTCCTACCAAAGGATGCTGGCAAGTAGGAGATGATATTTGTGAAGATCAAAAGAGATGTACCATTTCCTAGTTTTAAATCGGATATTCGCTCCCCAATGTACGTCGTAAATACTGAACCAAGAGTCAACAGAACAACAGTAGAAAGAACCCACTGAGTACTAAAGTCATCGACATAAGGGCGAAGATATAGTGCTTGGCCGATTGCCTGCCAGAGCAAAATAAAAGTGTATGTAAAAGAATTGACACTACATGCATGCATGGAATACATTATCCATATAAGAAAAAGTAACTTCATTACCTGTACAATGGCAAACCCTACAGATGCATAGCGGGTATACTGAAGCACTTTCTTTCTTCCAGCTTCACCTTCTCTTTTCTGAAGTTCTTGCAACTTGGGATAGATTTGACCAAGAAGCTGAAACACAATCTGTGCATTGATGAAAGGAACAATACCAAGGGAGCATATTCCAAGTCTACCAATACCGCCTCCAGAAAATGAATCCAAAGTGCTCAATATACTATTCTCATCTAAATTTCCAACAAATGCATCCCTATTTACGCCACCCAGCGGTACATATATACCAACTCGTGACAAGGCCAAATAACCCAAGAGCTTGAGAAATTTTCCCGGTAATGGGCCTTTGAAGAAGTCCCCAAAATCAATACTAGTGTCCTCAATTGCAGCTGCCAAAGTCAAAAAGTCCTAATAAAGGCCTATGAGCTGTGGGGTAGTACAAAACATAGAAATATAACACGCTAAATACAAGGCTAAAAACAGACCTGCAACTCTTCTTGCTGATGAATTTTTCTCTTTTCTGGTACCTGAGGTACTCTCAAATGCTTTCAACACAAACCCCACTGCACTTTCCCAGGCAGTGTTTAGATGTGATGATCTGCTTGAATTGATTCCCAATGGGTCAAATACTGAATTATCAGAGCTGGAGATAGAAAGCAACAATCAGTATTCAGTAGAAGCTTGTATCAAGGTTATAGAAAATAAATAAAAATTAGATTTCTAAGACAAATCATCATCAACAAAATTTATTTTTTAATTTTTATTTTTCAAAAAAAAAATTAAAAAAAAAAAATCACCAAACTCCTTTCCCATCCTCAAGGCCTCAACATCAGAGAGACAGTTGAAAATCTGGCCAAACTACTTTGACTTATATTGGTGTTTAATTTGATGTTAGTCTTTAATCTTTTCTTTTAAAAAAAAAATGGTATTAGATTTTATTTTGGTTTTAATCAAAGAAAACCAATAAAAACCAATTAAACCAAACTACTCTTTGTCTCTATATGCACAACTATTGATGTTTGCCTAGTTGTATTCATGGGTTTATGAAAACTTGGACCTTTTAGTGGAAACTACAAATCAATAAAGCCGATCTACATAAAGTTACTAAATTCCATTTGGCTAAAAAATTGGTTAATGAAGATTGGGGGATACAAATTTGGTCGAATCAAACCAAATACAACTTTAATTTGACCAAACTGCACATTTGCTAATTAGATTTTTTTGGATGAGATAATTTAAGCAAAATTAACCGACAGTCAGTGGTACCAACCAAAGAACACCCCTAGATAACAGTTTATTAGGGAAGGCTTACAAATGCTCATTGTCCTCTCAGCATAAACCATAAAGAAAAACGACGATTTGGTAGGTAAAACATGAACAATTTTCGTTAGATCATCAACCATTCTCTTTTTCTTCAAACTATTTAGCTTTGATGTACTCATTTTGCTACTTCAAGGATAAAATCTCAAGAACTATCTAGGGTTGCCCCATGTTCTCATACATTCCATGACTTCAATGCAATCAACGAATTTTCCAACAAAATGACCTTAGTTTCTAAAATATTTTCATTAACTCTTTCTCATAGAAAATAAGTATATGCAGATAACATGGTCCAAATATATCTTCCATAGGATGGTGCCATTAAATGAGTTTCCTTCACATCATTGATGTTTGGAAAGAATGAACTAACTCGGACAATTAGATTGCTGATTAAATAATCATCATTTATGTAGATATTTAGCATTGCCAATTGGGACCATATAAAATTAGATTCTTTCTCAACTTATTTTGTCACAGTTAAAATCCCAGTTAGACACCAAACTAAATCCAGAAATTTATAACCAAAAAAAAAAAAAAAATGAAAATTCCCTAAGACTAACAGCAGATAAGCATTTCCGGATTCCAACCCAGTACAGCTAATCATAAACACCTTCCCTAAAAGTAGTAAATCAGCTGGCAAACACAGCCTTGTGATTGTAAACAATAAGAAATATAATCTTGAAATTTAAGGACATTTGGGATGCCCAAAAAACCATTTTGGTTGTTTGTTGATTAAGATAAGATTGGTTTAATTACCTGGTTATGGGATTCCATGATTGGTGAGTGAGAGAAGGGTTTCCGTGGAGACGGACGCTGCTGGCTCTGCAAATGAGGGTGTTTCGGTTGGTCCTTGGAGTGTTGAAGGCGGCGAAGCAGTGAGACAGAGAAGAAACTTCTCTCACCGTTATCAACATTGTTATCCTCCTAGCCCAGGAACACAAACACCCACCAAACTAGGAAGACTGTGCGTGTGGAGGGGAGACCTTAGGATGTCGTGGCTTTGCACTCACTGCCACCGCTAACTGGATGTTTAACTTCAAATCAATTTTTATATGATTTAATTTTAAAATGTATAAATTCTAAATATATATATATTAATAAAAACATATATAAACAAATACTAAATATTCATATTCATAATAATACTAATAATAAATATGATATCTACCATGTAGTGTTATGGCACCTCTGTAACTCAGGTTCACATTTGAACCTATATATATATATATATATATATATATATATATATATATATATATATATATATTATAGTTCTTATTGTAGACCATTGAACACTTGTGAGTAGTAGATGAGTCTATATAACCATTCTATCTATTTTGTTTTAGACTATGTGGTTAATTGAACACTTGTAAGTAAAACCTTTTTGCCTATTTTGTTTTATTTGTATTCAGACCAAAGCTAACTTAGATTCTATGGGTGGAATTTTTTTTTGATAATTTTGTTCATATGATCTTGTATTTTACTGATTTCCATATTGGGACTAAAATGAAACGAAAGTTTCATGCTCGGTTTTAAAGAACCGGAAATGCAATTGGATTGTAAAAGTTACAATTCAAATATTGACGTGACTTTAAAAAAAAAAAAATGAATTGAAGTATCGGTTTGGATTTCAGATGACTTGTTGTGGGCGGAAATTCATTCGACCTAATAGTCTAATACTTGTCATTTTCAAGTTAAAAAAAAAAAAAAATTCATTAAAACAAGTCCGAAGACAAAGCATTACAAATGATAGGTGGAGGACTATGAAACCATTCAGAACAACCAAGCGGTTTGCCTAGCTAACAAATGTGCAATCCGGTTCGCTGTCGAGATACAAACACACTAGAGAAACTACTCAACAGATTTTTGATATCCTTAATAATCAAATGAAAGGAATAAACTCCCCGGTAAGAATTTAAGCATTGACCACCTGTAGGGAGTTTGTCTCTAACAAGAATGTTATCTAAACTTTTGGCCTTAACCCAGCTCAACACTTCCCTGATAACTACAGCTTCTTCTTCTTCCACTGGACATTCATTTTCAAGTTAAATCAAGAATGGTGTGGGCAGAGAGAGGATTATTGGATGGAGTTGTCCTCTTCAGTCTTCAACAAATTAATTTATGTAAGCCATGCTGGTAGAAGTGTCTATTTATTATGCAAATCTACTCATTTAGTCGTTTACAATACAAATTAATAAATGCAGGTAGGCAGCAATTAGCATCACATATTCACATACACAAACTCATCAAATCACATCACTCTTCCACCACTCACACACATACCGCCTTCTTCAACCAACTGCGGAACGCCATCTTTACTTCATTAATTAGGCTGAAACACTACATGCTGGAAAACACAACACAACACTCATATTATATATATATATATATATAGCAAAAATGATTGATAGTCCTAAAGCATTCACCAAATTAATTATATATGTAATATGTTGTTACCTTGATCTGAGTTCTATTGTATGTATATGTGATATGAACTAATCCATCACTTGCTTGGATCACAGCTGGATAAGAGAACTCCATCCCTGATGTATCCTCTAATGTTGCAACATCATGCCACGACTCCCCATCATCTTCAGAAACTGCAACTTTCAGAACACCCCTCGAGATTGTGTTGTAAGCTACCAACACTCGACCATCCTTCAGTTTAACACCATCAATTCCTGATCCATCATTATCACACAAACTTCAATTAAGCACCAACTCAATCTCTCATTTTCCTTTCAACTATCAGAGCAAACTTTACGATCACAGATCTCTTCACCTATTCTAATCATAACAAACTCAACTTTAAAAACCATTGATAATAACCTGAATTCGGGTTTGGCAATTCAGTGGGCTTTGCATAATCCCAGTTATAACCACCATCGTGGGACTCAGACATGCAAATTTTATCAATGCCAGTAAACGATCTCAGTAAAACCCGCAAACTCCCTCTGGCAGTCTGGTAAGGAACAGGTTGGATCACGCTTAGACTGTTATTCTTAATGTATATTGGTCCATACTTTCTCCATGTTCTGCCAGAATCACCCGTCATCTGTAGTTTACAGAAATTGAGCCAACTGTCCTGTCCAAATCTTAACATACACGTTAAAAGTATGTTGTTTACAGGTAATACCTCCATCCATGCTCCCCATGAATTCCAACTCTCAACAGAAGATCCACAAAGCAAGGTTCCACTTTCCAGTAACAGAGGCTGGAATAAGAAGCAATTGCAACTTATTGTAACCATAATCATAAGGGAATAAAAAATGTTTGAACGAACCGCTCATACCTTGTTCTTTATTGGTCCTAGTATACCAGGGGGGAGCTGTTCTCTCTCATTCCATGTCACACCGCCATCATAAGATCGCTTCATGCATCCGCTCCAACTGTGTTCATCAAACATATCTAACTCTAGCTCATACATTTCATTTGCAATCTTGATTCTTGAACACGTGATACCATACCCAACTGTTTAAGCCACAATTGAAATTGCTGAGCTAAAATATTACATTTACCTTTGAACATTTGTCCCAATCTTATAGAACAGAAGCAATTCACTGGAAGGAAGCTTGAACAGTACAGGATTCCACATTGAAACATTCAGTTCATCATCAGCTACAATAGGGGGGTGCCAATTCCCATCCTGCTCAAACCATATCCATAAACTAACTTGTGAAGTGAAAATTTGATTATACGATCTAAATTGGCTACATTGTAGTGAAGTTATGATGAGAGGGTAGGAAATGAACCACATATATAAAAAGATGACCTTGTAAGTTTGTGCCCAGATTTTGACATCAGGAGCCCCCTCAACTGAACCACCAAAATAAGCCACCAAGAAATGATCTTTATTGACCTAAAAGCATAATAACAAAATATCAGTGGGAATCTGATTCAGTTGTTTACGAATTGGTATAGAATGCAGTATGCAGGCAGAGCTTGGAGCAACCTCGACTATAGTGGAAGCATGACAATTATTGAAGGGAGCTGAATTGGCAGCAAATGTGAACTCCTCAACTACTGGCACCCAAGTGCTACTATCCCCATTCTTCATTTTTGATATTCTTCTTCCTATTTCCCTGTATCATATATATATTTTGCAGATTAGAGATATTTAGGAAATGGGATTCAAAGGGTTTATGGAAATCATATTATAGCTAGTGTCTCAATAAGTAAAGATATGAGAACATTCTTCTCCAGTTCTAGTCAAAGCACCCCGTTGACACGCCAAGAAAAGTAGTGCGCGGGTCTTACGAGGAGCCCAGATGCAATTTCAAGCTACAATTCACCCCCAAAGTGCTTCTAAACCTAGAAAAAGATTCGAGTATGAAGAATGACACCAGAAAAGGCCACAAAAAGCCACAAAGTTTTTTCAGCTCAGCCATCAAACTAATTTCCACAAATAAAATCACATCAAGCTAAACAACTTTCACAAATCCTTGCTTTACTTTCCACACTAGAGAGAATATTCAAAATAACAATGAAATCAAATGTACCCAATTATCAAGATTCAAGACTCAAGACGACTTGTGAAAACAAACTGCGGGAATTCTCTCTCTCTCTCTCTCAGAAATATAGTTTAATACGGAGTATAATCCTAATTTTTAAGGTCACACTTTGTAAAATTGTAATTCTATGATAATATTTATTTTATATTTTTTTAATTATTATTATATAATAATATTTTAATTTTATTCACTTTTTTATTTCAATTCTCAGTTATTAGATTCATATATTTATTAAATATAATGTAATTTAAATTTATATTTTATTTTTCCCCACCAAATTATAATGTTAACTAACTCAGCTCTTCTATAAAATTGTATTTATTGAGCTTGATAATGATATTTGGATTTTAACTATATTTATGACAAGTGGCATGAATATTAAACTCTTATTTCTTCCTTCACTGTAACCATTATCAACCTTCTTCACATGCTATTTGCGTTAATTAAAAATTACTTAGTTGAAATGAATGCTTGTTTTGAACGAAATGTGTGTTAATTTTTAATTCAAATGGTATAATTTGTTGTTTTTTTTTTCTTTTAAATAAATAAAATATATAGTATATTGATACTTGACAAAAGACTGGTGTGATGTTAAAGGAGAAGAAGATAAGGCGCAGTTAAAGATGAAATAAAAGCTGAGGGTGTAGGGTTTATCGAAAATGGCTGTTTCATTCGCCTCAAACACCATTCTGCAATATGCCAATCTTTCCCAAATCAAGCTACATTACAATCTTTTCTCTACTGCCGAAAGAAGAAATACTATTTTCCAAAAAGCTCCACCCCGAAGCTTGAAATTCACAGTTAGAAATCAGGGGTTTGCTCTGAATAAGGAGGAGATTTCTTCCGATTTTGATTGGGATGAACTAGACCAAGAAGAAGAAGAAGAAGAAGAAGAAGATGAGGGCTCACCATGGGAAGGTGCTGTGGTTTACCGAAGAAATCCTTCGGTTTCGCACTTGGAGTATTGCACCACCCTAGAAAGGCTTGGCCTTGGGAAGCTTTCCACTAAGGTTTCTAAGTCTCGCGCTTCGGTGATGGGAATCAGGGTTACCAAAGACGTCAAGGATTACCCGGAAGGGACGCCGGTGCTGGTTTCACTCGATGTAACCACCAAGAAGCACAAGGTGATCAGGCTCGATGGGATTATCCGAACAGTCATTACTCTTGATTGCAACAGGTAGGTACTGTAATTTGCTTTTCCTTCTTCTCTTTATTTACATTTTCTGATTCCGCAGAAAAAAATAAAAAAATAATAAAGATTGAATTTTTTGTTCTTCTGTTCATGGATAATTTGAAGTAATGCATAATCTGTTTGAAGGTGTGGTGAACCAGCTCCTGAAACTATTTTTTCTAACTTCTCACTCTTGCTGAGTGAAGAACCCATTAAGGAAGCAGACACCCTGGACATGGGTACAATGTTTGGATCCAAGAATTTTGAAGCAGTAGAGGAAGATGACGACGATTCTATGATTGATATTGAAGATCAACTTTATTTTCCTTTGGAAAACAGAACCATTGACATCTCAAAGAATATAAGAGACTTGGTGCACATAGAAATCAGTCTTGATGCCATCTGTGATCCCCAATGCAAGGGTTTATGTTTGAGATGTGGTACAAATCTCAATATTCAGAGCTGCAAGTGTGTTGAACAAAATGTGGAGGCAAAAGGTTTTAGTCCTCTTGGTGGTCTGAGAAACAAAATGCAATGATTATGATGATCATAGTGGAATTCATGTATGTATGTATGTATGTATGTTTCTATATAAGACTACTACATACATTCATTCTTTGTGTAACACTGCTGTTTAACAAATAACAAGCACCCATTTCGATCACGAATGTAATCTATTGAGTAAGGGGGTAGCACTTGCACTTATGGTTGTTCACCTTTCGTCTCCTCTTGATAGCATATTGAAATATGTACTACACTTTAACTAGATTTTAAGCTATTTGTGAGAACACAAATTTATTATGTTATATTGATCCTCAACAAATACAAATGTTCTTCTCCAATATGCCTTTCCACACCTACAACGTTTTAATTAATAATAGATACAGGGGCATCTAGTAGCCATGCATAGTAAAAATCCATCAACAAAATAAAGGCCTTCTGGAAAAAGAGATAAGGGACTGTCAAACGTCAATGAGTGGCCATGGAAAAATTAAACAAAGAAACACATTTCTCCATAAAAATCAAGGCAAATTCATTCAATAGAAAGGACATAGTTGTGGAAGTTAAAAAAGGATGACAGAAACATTTACCTGCGTATTCCCAATAAGATGTGCGAATAAAACGAGGCCCAAAATGGCAAAGGATGTCTCTCCGATAAATGTGGTTGTTGACAAATTCTGCTCATAAGAACTGAAACAAGAGAGGCTTGTGAAAATCCATAAACTCCTTTCATCTAAACAGCCAGTAAACAGCCAGCCAGTTCAAGAAGGATTGATTCCATAAAAAAATACCATCCTAAGCTAAAGCAACAGCATGAAGTAACCTAGACTAGATTATGGACACCAAACATCTTAATATGCTGGTTTTCATTAAAGAAGATTTACAGTTTATTCCATCATTTTAAAGATGAGATGAAGTAGTATATAACATAGCAAAGTTCAGCAGCTGCAGTCATTTTTAAATTTTGATTAGTGGTAATCAAAGCCATCCTGCAATAGTCATACAGTTATTCATGCATTAAAAAATAAACTATATTAAAATAAAATAAAATAAAAATTCAAAGCCCCAAAATATCAATCAATTTAGGGGTTCCATACTCCATTAGCAGTACATATTTTGTACTTTTCTCAACCCTCATCATAACAAATGAAAATTAAAATGATTTTTGTTTCTGGCCCTAATTTTCCAATTAGCTGGATCTTGACATCCATTATCAAAATATATTTTCCTGGAAAGTTCTCACAGGAGAAAGATGCAATGCAAATCATTTTACAGAAGGAGCATGAAGTAAATAACACAGCGATAGAGTCAGCAATTTTTGTGAGTTCTATGTACTCTTAAAATAGACACTGTTAAATTTCAAATTTCCAGAATAATTTTGAAACATATTATTATCTACCGTGCCTATATAGTATATACTGACTATGGTAATTAAATGCGTAACTGTCTTTGAAAACATTTGTTCCTAATAATTATCTGTTGCTGCTATTGCTTTATGACATAAATTTGCATATAGTACACTAATTAGATCCCTAGGGTGTGCATCATCATAAGTATGATTAGTACCAAATAATTTCAGGCTTTTCAGCTTCAACACTAGCTTGTATCTTTGCTAAAATGTATATTTGAATTGCTATTTTCACTTTTTTTTTTAATCTAAAAATATAATTAAAACAGATACATAATGGAGCATCCAGCAAAAATAAAAATTAAAAAAATTAAAAAAAAAAAAAAAAAAGTATGAGAAAGCCTTCATAAAAATAAAAATAAAGCTTATTCTGCAGATTGCTACTAGTATCAGAATTCTAAATATGAAATTGGAATGATTCTGGGAAAACTAGTATTGCCACTGTACAGATGGAACTGTATTTTAAAAAGAATGGTATATACTTCTTGCACAAAGATGCCTCTTGAAGCTTGACATATCATTTATTTTTGCTGAAATTTCTTTTCTTGAATGAGTTGAATCTTAATTATTTCTCCATTAACAAATCTCCTAGCAGACAACAACTGCAGTGCCCTTCACAAAAATTCCAACTTTACTCATTTGACCAAAATGATGATTAGACAAGCAGCAACCAAATGCAAATCTCACAATATAAGAGACCTATGGCACACTAAAGCATAACTTTTAAATAACCAGAACTCATATTTTCTGTTTTAAGCTAATAGTTAGCTTTGATGCACATCCACATAATTTGACACAGAGCAAAAGCAAGGGCCAGCTCATGGCATACAATGAATGTTATGTTAAGACATCCAGCCATACCTCACGCTAAACCGGAACACCTCTTTCCTTTGTTGGCCAAGGTTTCTTATCATCACCAATTGGAAGAGGATGGCTCGCTACATTTGATGTTATTAAGACATCTAGGCATACTCCACTCCAACCTAATTCTAATTCTCTTGGCTTCCGCTCAAAAAGATGAGACCAATGCAAACCAACCCAATTGTGGATGAAACACTAGAAAATGCCCACATCAATTATCTTTGAATGCAACAACTAGTTTTACCATTCTCCTGTTTCATTAATGTGAAGACACATTATAAGCCCCCCCCCCCCCCCCCCCCATTTTCTTCAATTCCATTCTGATTTTCAACCCAGCTAAAACCGGAATCCTTGACTACCTTCCCTTCAACCATCATTTCTCTAACACCCTTTGATTCATCCCATCTTCCCAGAGATGAATACACATTTGCTAGAAGCACGTAAGGGGCAGAATTCTCTGGATCCAACCGGAAAAGCTCTGCTGCAGCTCTTCTTGCTAAACTTACATTCATATGAACCCTACATGTACTAAGCAATACCTCCCATATAATTGGGTCATCTTTGTATGGCATCTTATTTAGAAGTTCTTCCACTTCATCAAACCGACCTGCACGACCCAAACAATCGATAATACAAGTGTAATGATCAACCAGTGGCTCCACTCCATATTCTAGCTCCATTAAGTGGAAAATTCTTATCCCCCGATCTACCAATCCTGAATGGGTACAAGCAGTTAACACAGCAATAAATGTTACACCATCAGGCTTATTTCCTGTTTCAATCATCTGCTCATATAAGAAAATAGCTTTATCTCCACACCCATTCTGTGCATACCCATGTATCATCTCATTCCAGGTAATAGTGTTTTTACAGGGCATCATGTCAAAGCAAAGACGGGCCCCATCTATATCACCACATTTAGAATACATATTGATCAGAGCACTTCCCACAACAACATCATTCGCATATCCACCTCTAGCTATCATGCCATGAACCTGAGTCCCCAATGCAAGGGAAGATAATCTTGCACAACTACTGAGTACAGTTGCATAAGAGAATTCACTAGGTGGCATTCCCATCTGTAGCATTTCCTTAAAGAAGGAAAATGCTTCTTTGTCCAATGAATTAAGGTTCAAACCCGAGATCATAGAATTCCAACATACTATATCTAACTGAGGCAATCTCTTAAATATACATTTTGCCACTTTTACCCAACCACATTTTGAGTACATGCCAATAAGACTGCTAGCTACATATATGTCACCTGGAACATCATTTTTAAATGAGGCAGCATGAATCTGCTTCCCATATTCCAAAAGTGCTATTTCTGCACAGGATGTGAGTATGATAGCCAAAGTGGTTCGATCAGGTCGCTCATTTTGAAACTGCATTTTCCTGAAAAGGTTTATGGCTTCACAGTGATCCCCATTCTGTGAGTAGCCTGAAAGCATAGCATTCCATGAGCTCAAGCTTGGGCATGCCATTCTCTCAAATAGCCAACACCCAGCTTCAACATCCCCGGATTTGACACAAGCTGCCAGCATATTAATATAAGTAACCTCATCAGGTTCATAACCACAACTCTGCATCTTTTCCATGTATTCCATTGCTCTTTTCTTTTCATAGTTCTGGCCAAATCCGCCTATCATAATATTCCAAGAAACAGTACTAACTTCAGGCAGGTCCCCAAAAAGTACTTCAGCACTGCCCATATCCTTGTTTTTCACATACATGTCAAGTAACGAGTTACACAAGCGAAGATCACTTTCAAATCCAAGTTTAACAACAAGACTGTGGACTTGTTTCCCAGGCACATTACACATATACCAAGCATTAATGTCATCAATAACAAAGTCCCCGCCATCACCTTTAGCACAAACTCTGAGAACACTGGACAATGAAACAGAATCAATCCTAAACCCATTCCGCTGCATCAACCTAAACATGTTAAAAGCCTCTTCGACTTGATCAATCTCAACCAACCCCGACATCATTGCTGTGAAGGAAACCTCATTACGCTCTGGAAAATCTCCAAACACCTTGATTGCATCCCCACCACATCCACATTTTACATACATACTTAACAATGCATTTCCAACGTAGACATTTTTGTCAAGACCATATTTTACAGCCAAACCATGACTCACTCTCCCAAACTCCTTACCCCTCAACCCACCACAAGCACTCAAAACGCTCGCCAAGGTGATATGAGTTGGCTCAAAACCACCTGAATTCATCATATTGTAAACCTCCAAGGCTTTGCTTTCATACCCATTTCGAGCTAAAGCGCTAATCATAGTGTTCCACGACACACTATTCCTCTCAGGCATTTTAACAAACAGTTCGGTAGCATGCTCTAACTGGCCAGCTTTACAGTGGGCAGTCAGCATCGCATGCCAAGAGTATATGTTGTTGAATAATTGTAACAAGATGCGCAGCAGCTTCAGTTGGAACAGCGGCAATAATAATAATAATCGCAGCAGGTTCGAAAATCAACAATAACAATAATGTTAGGCAGCTTTGGTTTCACAAAGCAACAATAATAAAATGTTAGGCAGCTTTGGTTTCACAAAGCAACAATAATAAAATGTTAGGCAGCTTTGGTTTGTAATAGAATCGCTGCTTCAAAGAAAGGACGTGCGACGATGCTGCTGTGCGAATAAACCAGAAAGAAATTCGAACAGGTTGTATAGAATTTTGCTAGAATTATATATGTGTCGTGTATGTTATACACTTCCTTAAAAGCATTTGCGACCAGGGTGTCGCTGCTTTCGACAGGAAAACACAGAATCACAAGAACATGTATTTTAAGAATTCTCAGGTAATCTCTTCTTTCAGTGCCCTTGATGTTATGAAGCAGTGGGTTTATATACTAGTTGTATGAAAACCACTCCTCCATTACAAGCCAAATGAGTCCTACAAAGAGGGAGAGCAAGAGAAGGATCTCCACTAATCATCCACACACACCTCACGTTTCTGTACATAGTGTGCGGACAAGGTGGTCAAACATCCTTAAAATTAGGAGTTAAAAAAATGTGCGGACCACTGACAGCCTCTTTCCATAATGTAGAATCTACTGAGCGCATAGCTTCTTGAAAGGTTTTTGGTTCTTCCTCTAGGACCAATTGACATATGAACTGGTCACAAATCTCATTTATGTCTTTCAATTCTGTTAAGTATGTTATGAACTTAGAACCAAAATTTTTCTCTATTCTAGCTCTTTTACTCCTTCTTGGTTCCTCAGTAGGGTTTGAGAAACTCGGAAAAGAGTCCGTAGAATTCTGTTGAAGGCTAACATCAGATGCGGGATAAGGTGATTTCATAGGAAAAACAGTTTCAAAGAAAATAGCATCTCTAGCTTCACACATTGTACGATTTTCTAAGTACATGAATCTATATGCAGCACTGTTCTCAGCATACCCAACAAAGATGGCATCCGTCGTTTTAGGTCCCAAGTTGGGCCTTTTGAAGGACGGTAGACCTACTTTTGCTAAGCAGCCCCATACTCTTAGGTAACTAAGGTTTGGGGCATGCCCCTTCCAAAGTTCATAGGGTGTTTTATCAAACCCTTTGTGCGGTACTCTATTTAGAATGTGGTTTGCTGTTATAGCAGCTTCCCCCCACAAAGAGTCCGGAGCACCTGAACTGATTAGCATTGCATTAATCATCTCTTTGAGAGTTCGGTTTTTTCTCTCAGCAATGCCATTTTGTTGGGGAGTGTACGGTGCAGTAACTTCATGTATAATGCCAGAACTTTCACATAGTATTTTAAGAGAATTTGATTCATATTCTCCCCCTCTATCAGAACGAAGCCTTTTTATCTTTTTGTCTAATTGGTTTTCTACTTCATTTTTAAAAACCACAAATTTCTGTTCAGCTTCGTCTTTTGATCTCAATAGATAAAGTTTTGTGAAACGCGAAAAATCATCAATAAACGTAATGTAGTAACGTTTTCCACCTTTACTTTCAGTGGTTTTGAAATCGGCTAAATCCGAGTGAATCAGTTCTAAAATTGATGTTTTTCTATTACATACTGTTGAGAATGAACTTCTAGCAAATTTTGATTCAACACAAATTTCACATTGTGTGCATGCTTCACTTGACAATTTTGGCAACAAATTCATGCTCTTTAGCCTGTTTAAACATTTGGTGCCAACGTGTCCTAATCTATCATGCCAAAGATTTAAAGAAACAACTATATAAGCAGAAGAGGAAGCTTTATTATTGGCAACATTGTTTGAAATGAGATCACATTTAGTAGAGCCTACTCTAGCAACTTGATTTCTAGCTACAGAGGCATCTAACACAAAAAGGCCAGCACGAAAATATCCCTTTCCCAGGTATTTCCCACAGTGAGTCAGAACCAAACGGTCAGACTCGAACACCATTTTTATTCCAGCCTTATTCAATAGGCCTCCGGAAATAAGGTTTCTACGCAGGGAAGGGACATATAGCACATTTTGCAATAACAGAAGCTTTCCAGAATAAAGCATTAACTCAATTTTCCCTCTACCACTTACCTTAGCGATACTGGAGTTTCCCGTAAAAACTTGTTCATCCCCAGTGTTGAGCTCGAGCACCTTGAACAGGTCCTTGTTGTTGCAGAAATGACGGGATGCTCCCGTGTCCACAACCCACTCATCTGGATCTCCAACCATGTTTGCTTCAGTTATTATAGCTGCTACCATTTTGGTACCTTCTGGATTTTCCACCATGTTAGCTTGGTGTTGTTGTCCTTCATTGCTTGGCTTTTGACCAGTTTGGTTTGTTGAGCCTTTCCTGTGATAGCAGTATTTGGCTTTGTGCCCACGTTTTCCACAAACGTAACATTCTGGGTTGTTTTTCCATTTTTTCTGAATTTTACCGTTTTTGACACGGTTATTATTGTTTGGTTTTGAGCCTTTCTTTTGGTTTCTGGCACCTTCCCCAGGCTTTAACCTGTTAGAACTCCCACCCATTTCAACTACATTAGCATTGATATTGTCAGAAAAATTACCAGATTTTTGAACCAGGCGATTTTCTTCCTCTATATTGATTGTGTGGATTAGTTGTTACAGGGTGTGATTCTTGAGTTCATGTTTCGACTTGTTCTTGAAGTCCAGCCACGAGTCAGGTAGTTTATCAACCAAAGCGTCGGTCAAAAAGGCATCATTAACCACAGCCCCTTCAGATGTCATATCAGCCACCAAGTTTTCAAAGTCGTGTACCTGTTCTGTAATCGGCTTGGCATCCGTCATTTTGAAGTGTAGCCAGCGATTCACAGCATATTTTCGTCTTCCAACGTCATCAACGCCATATTTTTCTTTCATCATCCCCCAGATCATTTTTGCAGACTTATGCACTGAAAACATATCAAAAAGTGGATTACTCACCCGTTGGAGAATTAACGCGCGTGCAGTTTTGTTGTCTTTCTCGTATTTTGTACGAGATGCTTGGAGAGTCGTGGACGACTGCTCTGGAGTCGACTTTGCAGCAGTTGAGTCTGCTGAAGTGGCTTGCGTTTCCGTGGTTGTAGCAGTTTTCTCAGTGGACTGCACCACAACCTCAGCAGGCTTCTCAGGATCTTCAAAAATGACATAGTCCACATCTTTGGACTCCAGAAGCATCAAGACTTTACCAGCCCATCTCTTGTAGTTTAAACCGCCCGTGAGAGGTTCAATGGGAGCAACATCAGAGTTGTTGTTCGTCGACTGCGACATAGCTGATCAAATGCTTTTAACTGTTGAATAATTGTAACAAGATGCGCAGCAGCTTCAGTTGGAACAGCGGCAATAATAATAATAATCGCAGCAGGTTCGAAAATCAACAATAACAATAATGTTAGGCAGCTTTGGTTTCACAAAGCAACAATAATAAAATGTTAGGCAGCTTTGGTTTCACAAAGCAACAATAATAAAATGTTAGGCAGCTTTGGTTTGTAATAGAATCGCTGCTTCAAAGAAAGGACGTGCGACGATGCTGCTGTGTGAATAAACCAGAAAGAAATTCGAACAGGTTGTATAGAATTTTGCTAGAATTATATATGTGTCGTGTATGTTATACACTTCCTTAAAAGCATTTGCGACCAGGGTGTCGCTGCTTTCGACAGGAAAACACAGAATCACAAGAACATGTATTTTAAGAATTCTCAGGTAATCTCTTCTTTCAGTGCCCTTGATGTTATGAAGCAGTGGGTTTATATACTAGTTGTATGAAAACCACTCCTCCATTACAAGCCAAATGAGTCCTACAAAGAGGGAGAGCAAGAGAAGGATCTCCACTAATCATCCACACACACCTCACGTTTCTGTACATAGTGTGCGGACAAGGTGGTCAAACATCCTTAAAATTAGGAGTTAAAAAAATGTGCGGACCAAAACTTTGACCCCACCACACCGCGCGGGATCTCCCCTTGTTCCCTCTTTATAATACTTCAAGCCTTTTAAAATAAGTGGTAATTTAAATAGTGGGAGACAGAAAGGTAGATAAGCAATGTGGGACAAAGCCTACTCTTTAAATGTCCCCAACATATGTTAGGTTGAGGCATTTGATCGAACATGTGGCGTGCAGTCCGAGTGAGACCACATTTCGAGTAAAACTCAGTAAGGCGGTTGCTAAGAAAAGTATCGGAAGAGAGGCCAAGTTGGACGATATGGCCATGGAGAAGTTTGCCTGCAACGTGGGCTTTATTATCTATGCAGGTTTGCAAAAGGTCCGCTATATACGATGCGTTCGCCTTGGCTTGCATTATTCTGAATTTCAGATTTTGAGATGCATAGCCACACCATTAAGTTTGTATGGTCAAAGGTTGTACTATACTATTTTATTCATATTACTTCAAAGAAGAAGGCGACGTTAGTCGGCTTCTTCCTCAGTTGAAAATGGCGACGAAGGGTCGCATTCTTTCTCAGAAGAATAAGCGTGATTGTTGCCTTCTCCTTTTCCGGTCATGGAGAACGAGCAATGATCGTTTTTTTTTTCTTTTCCTCTTTTTTACCGAGACAGTCAACGATGGTGGGTGGCTGTCAACGGTGACCTACATGCTAAGTCATTGAAATTTTACCGGTAACACGTTGGTTAATGGTAAATATGACTTATTTGATTTATTTTAATAAGTTCATGTGTTTAATTGTACATTTTTTAAGTTCTGTAGTTTAAATGCTCTTTTGTATAATGTTTAAGAGTCTATTTGACTATTTTCATTTATTTAATTCTTATTTAAATACGGATGTCTCCTCTGTTCGGTAGACCTGGAAACATGGAACACATCTTCTTCCAGATTAGAAGGAGGCTGCGAAGGTCGCCGGCCGGCCACAAGCAAATAAAAATAAATTTTAAAATATATATATATATTTTTTTTGTTTTATCGGTAACATGTTGGTTACCTGTAAATTAAGTCTAATTGCACAATTTTAAACAGTTAAGTGTGTAATTGATTATTTTTTATATTTGTGGACCTAATTAATTTTTCATCAAAAATTAAATGGTTTATTTGATCCTTTTTCCTAATTTTAATAAACTAGCCCGACATTTACACTAATACATATAAATTTATACATTATTTATTTAATCAATCTATGTTAATTTGGAGGGAAAACTATCAATGCATGAATCTATGTAGTAAATTTATGTACTTATATATTTAAATATTCACAAAAGCAATGTTGGACATATATGTTATAAATTTATACATTTTAAATATTCACAATTTATACATTGATATTTTTCACTCCAAAATTTTCTCTAATATTTTCACCCCATAATATGGCCTAAAATTATTGGTGCTAATCACTTGGGTGAGTGGGTGACTCTATCTTTAGTTAAAAAGGAAGATAATTGTCCAATTAAAAAATGTCATTTAGGGTATTCGTAATGGGTCTCACATTTCCTCCCCACATTGTTGGTTCAACTCCTAGATCACCTTATAATTTTCTTCCACATTTTCTCTCCAATCCTTCTCTTCTTTTCTATCTTTTTTGTGGGTCCTGCTCATTCAAACACCTGCAAATCATTTATTATTTATTCACTTTTCTATAATTAATAATTTAAACTTTATAATTATAATTTTTAATTTTATACTAAAATAATGAAATAATGAAATTTATCGATAATTTTTATTTACCGATAAATGTAAATAATGAAATAAACTATATTCTAATTTATTTAATTTAGTTCAATAAATTAAATAAAAATATGTCTACGTAATTTAAATTAAAATATAAATTTAATACATAAATAAAAATAAATACCATAAATTAAATAAAAAAATTATAGGGGGAACCAAAACTTCTCTCGTCTATGATGCAATCTGAGAAATCGATCGCCAGCCAACGGTCGGAAGAAGACCGGGATTTGCTTGAACGGAGCACGAAGAAGGCTAAGAGATTCGGCAGCAAGGCAGCAAGCCCGTCGCTGATCGCACCAACGGTAATCCAAAGGGACGATGAGATCGTCCAGGAAACGCCGACAGACAGGATGGTGGCGCACTGCTTGACGGTGCCCACGCAGGTGAGTAAGGATGATGGATCTGATTCTCCGCTAACGGTTCCTCTGTCGTCTCAGGTACCGGAGACAACTCAGCGTACGTACGCAGACAGTCTGATTGGACGGACAGTGCAGCCTCAACGACGGGATGTGGAGATGGAAGAAGAAGATTCAGGAGAGGACTCAGAGGAAGAAGATGATGACCCATTGTGCCCAACAATCCGTCTGACTAAGGCGGAGGTGGAGGCAATCAGGGCGCCATGGAGGAAGGCGCTCATTATCAAGGTATTGGGCAGATCCGTGGGTTACGCGTACCTGTTGCACAGACTGACAACAATGTGGAAACCGAAGGGGAGCCTGGATCTCATTGCCATTGATAATGGCTACTTCATAGTGCAGTTTGGATCCGGCGAAGACATGGAGTTCGCCATGTTTGAAGGCCCGTGGATGATCTTGGATCATTACTTGCTAGTCAAGCCGTGGAAGCCGAACTTTGATCCATATTCAGACAAGACTAAGAAGGTTTTGGTTTGGGTAAGGATCCCATGTCTACCGGCGGAATACTATAATATTATTTTTCTCAGGAAGCTGGGGAACAAAGTCGGCAGATCCATTCGCGTTGATCAAGCTACTAGTCTGGTTTCACGAGGGATGTTCGCGAGGATATGTGTTGAGGTGGACATCACCAAACCGTTGATTTCAAAGTTTAACTATAAAGGCCGGGTGCGCTCGGTTGCTTATGAAGGGATCCACATGATTTGTTTCACGTGTGGCATATATGGCCATGCATCGGAGACCTGCCCAAGAAACTCCAAGGCAGCGTCAGGGCCGGAGGTCGGGGTCCAAAAAGAGACGGAGGCACCTTCTAAGGACGTTGGGAAGGCCACAGAGAGAACTCGGGAAGTCCAGATTGGAGACGCGCCTTTTGGGGAATGGATGATAGCGCCGGGCAGAAGGCCACGAAATGCAGCGAGACCGCCGGAGAAACAATAGAGGGTGACGGGTGGAAATGGACGGGGACACAACAGCGGCCGAGATAAAAGAGCTCAACACTCCAGATTCGCCCCACTAGCTGCGGCAGAAGGGGATGAGGGTGCTCATGAGGCAGGCGCGCGAGAGGAAGCTGCTGACATTGCAGGAAGGGAGGACTTTGAGGAACCTGCACGAGAAAGCCAGGGGACGACAGGGGGTAGGGGTAATGCACGCCGCCCCAATGTGGTAGTTGTGGAGAAACAAATTGAAAACGAGCCTAACGCTATCCACCGATCGCAAAACAAGGTAGGAGAGCCAGCTTCACGAACCAACACTGGGGGTGGGACGAGGCCACGCCGTGCTGCGGAGGAGGATGAGCACACTGTTATTCGAGGTGAGAAGGGTGGCCTGGTTATTAGTTCGACAAGAGTTGTCATTGGTAGCGAGCCAGGCGACATTCCATCACCAGTCTGGCAGCACACTAATGAACACCATTCCGATCCACCGGGACCTTTCGATGATGAAGGTGATGTTGTAATGGACTTTGACGGGGTCTCAGGAAAAATTGAGGGCGCAGAAGAAGACAGCGCCCAATGAGTTTTTCTTACCTAGTTCTCCCAGTGTTTTGTTCCCAGTGTTTGTTTTATGCCACTTTCTTTTCTTTCGTCTGTTTTTAATGATTTGTTTGTTGTGGAATTGTCAAGGGGCGAGTGGACGGGTTTTCCTTCGCGCCCTTAAACACTTATTGCAGGTTTACCAACCTTGTATTTTGGGGCTCTTTGAGCCAAAAGTTTCTGGCACGCAAGCGAATAGCATTTGTTCGAAGCTCGGTTTTTCTGATTGGATCCGGGTCGAAGCTGTTGGTTTTAGTGGAGGCATTTGGGTATTTTGGAAACAACCATTAAACATTTCAATTCTTTATACTCACCCACAATTTATTTTGCTACAGGTTTCGCAAAGTGGCAGCCCACCTTGGGTTTTTGCAACGGTATACGGGAGCCCGACCCATTACCTACGCCGACGTCTTTGGAATGATCTTTCGCAATCGCAACATAGTGTACAAGGTCTTTGGCTTGTAGCAGGAGATTTCAACTCTGTAGTCAATAGAGATGAGACTAGTAACTACAGCTCTTTCTCTTCACAAAGGTGCTCCGATTTCGTTAATTGGATACAAGACGAGGGTCTTATTGATTTGGGTTTTTCGGGACCCAAATTAACGTGGGTCAAGGACGGGTCAAATGCTAATGTTAAAGGGGCACGTCTTGACAGAGCTTTGTGTAACACTGATTGGCGTGTCCGCTTTCCTGACGCGACGGTGGAGCATTTACCTCGAGTCTCGTCGGATCACGCCCCGATTCTTCTCCGTCTGTTTGGCGGACAAGCCCACAACCGAACTAACTATTTCTTTTTTCAGGCTTCGTGGCTCACCCATCAGGATTTACAGAAGAGGGTTCGGGATACATGGAACACCACCATAGGTTTGCTAGATAATGTTAATCAGCTGGCTAATGACTTATTTGTTTGGAACAGGGAGGTCTTTGGGAACATTCACAAGCGCAAAAGAGTTATTCTCTCAAGGCTGGGCGGAATTCAACGAGTTTTGGCTAGTACCTTCCATAGGGGTCTGGCACGTATTGAGAAAAGGCTTCAAGAAGAATTAGGGGAAATTTTGTACCAGGAAGAATTAATGTGGTTTCAAAGGTCAAGAGAAGAGTGGATCAAGTCGGGAGACAGAAACACGGCGTACTACCATGTTGCAACAGCCGTTCGGAAATCCCGGAATAAGGTCACGGGTCTGTATGATGAACAAGGGCTGTGGATCCCAGAGGGAAATGGTCTACGGGAGCATGTCAGGACTTTCTTTGTGAATCTGTTTTCAGCAAGCCCGGGAGAGACTTAAGGATCGAGCATGTTTGCTTGTTTCCCACGTCTAGACCATCTAGACTGGGCGGTTTTTAACAGGGCCGTGACTAAGGACGAGGTTCACGCGGCTCTATCCGACATGAAACCCTTCAAAGCACCTGGCCCCGATGGATTCCCGGCGGGTTTTTATCAACATAGTTGGGATGTTACGGGGGATAGCATTTTCAAGGTGGTCAGCGATGCTTTTACCACAGGCAGGCTTCCGGAAGGTATAAACGACACTTTGGTCGCTCTCATCCCGAAAGTAGGGGCACCCGAGACGATTAAACAATTCAGACCGATCAGCCTTTGTAACGTCAGTTACAAGACCATCACTAACAGATTGAAGAATATTTTGCCTCGAATGGTGGGACTGTTCCAAAGCTCTTTCGTTCCAGGCAGACAGATTTCGAATAACGTCATCGTGTACCAAGTCATGCA